GACAGCAATATAGCTTCACATGGCTAATTCACATTTTGAAATAATGCAGTCTAGTTTAGGGTGTTCATAATTTGCCTGACCACTTATCTTCTATGCAGCTCTGTGTTTGTGTGTGTGTGTTTTTTGTGCCTGTGTGTGTGTGTGGGTGTGTGTGTGTGCTGTCATCTTTAAGGGGATGTGCTGGGTAACTGTAGCCCGCTCTGGGTTTCCGGACTGGGTGCCTGCAGACTGCCGGTTCCCCTTCACCTTTCCTTCTATCTCTCTCTCCATCACTCCATCTATCTCTCTATCACAGCAGCCAGGCACTCAGCCAGGATACTGTGGTGACAGTAGAGCAGGCTTCCGCTGCAAAGCGCCCAGCTATACACTGAGGAGGACAGTGGAGTGATGTGGAGAAAGCTGTCTGACAGCACAGCACTGTTTACTTATCATCTCAGTCAGCAGGTCAAAAGTGGTCAGTCGTGAACTCAGTACACATCTTCAGCTTAAAATCCCTGAACAAACTTAAAATGCCTGAACAGTGAAGCTCTGCCAAATAAAAAGCATTTTTCTTCAACTTTTATTGTAAAATCCAGAAGCCACTAGATTTCCCTGTTAATTCAGTTCAAAATTAATTTATTCATCTATTCACAAATGCCCTTATAAGGCCCATATCCTGCAGTTTTCTTGTACTTTTTTTTACTTGTACTATTTTTTTTTCATTAAGGTCCACTTACAACATTTGTGTGGTTTTATGTATCAAGCGTCTCTTTATCTCTTAGAGTTAAACAGGCTGTTTTTGTGACTGTGTCTGAAACTGTTATAAGAAAATCTCTGTTCTGATTGGCTGTCCTGTACTGTATCTCATTTAAAGGGCCGTCCTGGCTGAAACATTACCTATAACTTAGGGAGAAATGGGCAGGGCTGCTGTAGGCTAAACATCATGGAACGAATGTATTAAAATGGGCTGCTTTTGCTGCACAGTTTCCATATATGGACTGTGTGGACTATGCAGTAAATGGTATGCTTTTAAAACTTCAACAGTGTTCTCAGAAAAGTGAGGTAAATTTGCTTTTCCATGTTCCAGGCCCTTTATATCTGATCCTTAGCAATTGCTCACTATGCACATTTATCCCTTCACCAGACTCTCCTAGTTAGGGCAGTTTACAGGATGTGCCATCAGTAGAAGACACAATGACGCATATAATAGATGTCTTTGTGGTCCCTTATAACTCAAGGACAAGGGCTTCAACAAACATCCAGGACAACTAGAAAGAGCAAAAATATATAAAGACAGATGACTAAATGACTCAATATATTAAGACAGATGCTCTAAAGCAGGGGTGGCAAACTCCCAGATTTTCATTGATTAAAGGGGCCTTCCAGGAGTGCTGGAGATGTTAAGCACTGGAGATTCAGCTTCATCTAGTGGTCAGTCCAAGAAGTACTCTCTCATGGTGAGGTTCTCTCATGGTAAGGCCTCTGGACAGTTGGCACTGAATGTTTTTGGATTGAACAACTTCTAGATAGGTTGTACAATGTGTAGGCATGTTTTTGAGCTGTTTGTAATGGCAGCGTGATAATTTAAGGAGTCATGGTTGTTGGTGGCCTGCAGGTCAAACTATGTCATTAAATGATCTACAGCAAGAGGGGAATAGTTTGAATGTGCAAGCAACACAGTGGGTTGATGGTCAAGTTACAGTCAAAGATACAGTCAAAAAGCTACAGAAAGAGTTTAGAGTAGAAAATAAGAAATAACAGTATTAGAGAATGATGATGTCAATTATAGTAAAGAAAAGTGTAGAGACAGGGATAGACACAGAAGTAATGTGGAGTCATTTTTCCCTAAATTATTTTGCCTAAACACTTAGTTCAAAAGCCTTTTTTTCTTGAAAGGTGCTTTTATTACTACTTGTCATCTGTTCTCATCTGAGATGTGATATTTGTTGCAGAACTTAACAGAAACTACAGTTCAGTAAGTCATGCTAAGTTAAAGTGGGTTGCCTTGCTTTATCATAATTGCCTCCATGCATCATAGATGCAACCATATACGCTACAGATAGCTAAATGCCAGAATTGCAGATAATTTTAGTTTTCCTGCCTTCGGAAAAAAAATCTTCAAACCATAAAATTATGTTTTGGTGAAAAATCGAATTCACACAATTTTGCCCTTATCTCAAATATAGTTGATCAGCCAAGACATATTTGGTCTCTGAAGTTTGTTTCTTTACTTTTGCACTAAAGCTATGAGGCTAATGTAGCTAAAGAGCCATGGAAGCTTTATCTTGAATGCCTGCATTTTCACATACTTGCCTTAAAATGCGTTTTGATAGAGAACAGTATGTCATACAGCAGTGGCAGCTGTATGATTAGGCCCAGCAGGCTTTTGTCATCCACTTTTATCACTGTTCCACCCAAAATGACTGCTTAAATCTATTTTGATATTAAAATATTTAAATAACTAAACTGAAAACACAAATAAAATGCAGTGGATAAATATTTTAAATTCTATTTTTAGCATTAACAATCAAATTCCAGTTTAACCAATATCCATAACTATGGGGTGTTTGCTAACCTCAGCATAACTCAAAAGCTTGTCAAAAAAGACCATCACTCCCCCATATGAATAAGTGTCAGAAACCACATAAATAAGTCTATGTAAGCTTACTTAACAAATCAATGCAGTGTAAGGCAGGTGTATGATGATTTAGGCATGCTGACTGAAAGTTTGAAATTGGTGTAAATAAGCTTCCATTACGTGTCAGCTCCAGCCCAAAACTAAAGAAGCAAACTTTAGATGCCAAACATATCTTGGCTGATTGACCCCAAGTGGAAGGTTATGTAATTACTGCTTAAATAAAACCATTGACATTGCATTTACGAGTGTGCATCCCTGTGTGTCTGTGCCTTCGTGTATGAGTGTATGCATGTGTATGTTGGTGAGTGTATGTGAAATATCGTATCTGGTTGCTAGTCAGCAGATCAGAGGCGTGTGGTATTAATAGATACTCAGAGCTTGTTCAACAGACTGGCAGCTCATTGTGAATCCAGCTAAAACGGGTCCACTCCACAGTGTACACACTGCTTTCTATATCTCTTTCTCTCTGCCACTTAAACACTCCTCTGCTGCACATGCATAAACACATACACACGCACACACACACACTCTTACATTCTCCTCCATGCATGTTATCTAAATAATGGGTTCCAAACCCTGGTTCTGGAGTACTGCCGACTCTGCACATTTTTCGACTTTTTTTTTTCACCCACTTAAGCTCAAGAACTGATTAATTGACTGATTAGTTGGATCAGGCATGTTTGGGGAACGGATCAGGGAAAACATGTGAAATGTGCATTGCGGGAGGTCCTCCAGGGCCAGGCTTGGAAACTGTTCTAAATCTTGGATCAAAAGATGACCCTACTGATGACATGGTATGAATTTGTGTCAGAGTGTGTGTTTTCTTGATAGTTTCATCTGAAACTATTTCTAAGGTGCGATGCAAGTGCAGAAAAATACAAGTGCTGCGGCCACCGCGGTTGGCGCTGATGTTCTTCTCTCAAATGAGAGACAAACCACAGTACTCATCCACAGTTTACTGTCAACCTTTCCTTCAAAGTGAAGATAAAGAGTAATGTGCATCGGCTCCACTGAACATCTCCCAGCATAGTTTTGGCTTGGCTGTCTGTTAGCTGGAGACAGATCACAAATGGTCAGTGGTTTGCAATGACTTCAGTTTTGGAGGCAATATTTCATGTTTAATCACCTGCTGTATTTGTGCAACTGTACTGTATTTATGGTTTATGGTTTATTGTGAGGAGAAAGAAAAAGTGGAGTAGAGTGTGGAGCACATGAAGAAACAAAGCTGTTTTAATACATATTTAAACTGCTCAGCCAAAAATCACATCTTCACAATTTTGATTGTGTGGTCTGTTCTTATGAGACAACGTTCTCTATTAAAACAATGGCTTATATTCTTGCTTTAGACGTGCAAAGTTCTTTTGTCCATTTTTATAGGTAGTAGTTTATCATACAGTGTCAGATACTATATAAATAAGTCTATTTGAGATTATTTAACAACTCAACACTGTCTGAGGCAAGTGTGTAATGAGGTAGACCCTTTGTAGCTACTAGTGTTGTTGTGGTGTCATCAAACGCGCCAGGGCTGGTGTTGTAACATCACATATAATTATCTTTCAAATACACCATACACGTGAACACACAATGTAATATAATGCAATTTCTGTGCAAGTTTATATCCCAAATGTCTTTGTACACTTCTGAATTCATGATCACATCAATGAACAAAATGTCACAAACATCACCGTCAGAAAAACAGCCCTAGACTTTTTTGTTTCCACTTCTGTGCTTTACACTACCTTTAGTGCAGTCTTCTTGAAATTCTTCTCCAGATGTTCTTTACACAAAGTGTCTACCATCAGTTTGTTGTTGTGCTAAAAGTATGTTAAGTAACCTAAAGAACTCCATTGAAGTTTACCAGTGGTTAAAGTACCCAAATACTTTTCGGGCCACTGTGTCTCTGCTGATCAGCTACATTTGGAATAAGGAGAAAAATGTGTGGATGTAATTTTTTGCCAAACTGTTGACATGGTGAGAGATCTTTAAGTTCAGTGAGGGCTCCTATATACATATGCACATTTTTGCTTCCCTTCACCACAACGACTAACTTCCCTATAACACAGTGACATAAAGAAGATGTTTGATTTGTATAACATGTAACTATGTTTTCTAGATGCAAATGTGATAAACCATCACCTTCATCAAACAAAAGGCATAGACATCAGAGTCACACACTTATTAAGACCCTACACTTAATCTGCCACTCATAGACTTTTATTAATTTCATAAATTTGTCCATAACTTGGATATTGTGACTTAAATATAACATTGTAACATTGGTGACAACTGTTAATACTTTACATACATATATTTTAATGGAATATAAAGAGTTTAAAAGTAACATTACATAATGAGTGTTTATCTGTGTGGGGAAGAAAGTCATTCAGGGCCGTTTGGGTCGTGTCTTCATCTCCACACTCTTGAATGAGTATCTCTCTCCAGTGCGAGAGTCAGTGAGGATGTACCAGGTGCCCCAGTAGATGCCATCTGTGATTCCACTGTAGCGTCCGCGGTAATAACGGCCATTCAGATTGGCAGCCAGGCAAGAATCGAACCACCAGCCTGCGCCATAGTAATGAGCGCAGTTTCCAGTTACATAGCGATCGTGATCCCGGTCGTGTGTGCTGAAAGCTCTGCCATCGTGGTTGTAGCGTTTACTGTAACTGAGGGCGTTACCAGCATCTCCACGATATTCTTGCGCAGTCAGACGGAACCTGCCAGGTAGAATGGAAACAGAGCAGAAAGAGACAGTTGTTGTGTGTACTGCTGTATTGAACAGTTGACAGTCTGTTTGTATGTGCAAGAAGAGTACAATCTCTGTCTGTGTGCAGTTAAAGCAAGATTTTGGTGAAAAATTTAACAGCAAATATATGCTACTGTTCAAAAGTTTGGAATTTTCAATAATATAAAAAAAGGTTTCAGTTTCAGACAAATGCATAAAATGATTCTAATATGCTCCTCCTCTAGATCTTCACAAGTTTGAAATAATCAGGATTAGTTAGAGTGGAGGGCATGGGTGTCTTTCCTCAGAAAAAAAAGTAAATGATTACACAATTTTCTGCAATTAGACACATTCGAACACTTTTTTTTTTTAAAAAAACTTTGTTAAATCAGTTTTTGCACCTCTATACCCATAGAATTCTCCCAATTTATATGTTACACTCTTAAAAGAATGGTTGCATGATTAAAGGGTTCTTTGCCTCATGAAAGGGTTGATGGAGAATGGACTGTAGATGGTTCTATATAGAATCTTTTAGAAAAGGATTCTATATAGCACCAAAAAGGGTTCTTCTATTGTTACAAGCTTGACATTATAACAATAGGAAAAACCTTTTTGGTGTTATAAGGAAAAGGTTCTATATAGAACCATGTACAATCATTCTCCATCACTCTGAAGAATCATTTTACAGTGCAACAAACCCTTTAATCATGCAAAGAGTTCATTGAGAGCTCATGGTTCTATACAGAGCCATTTATCTAAAGAATCCCTTGAAGCACCATGTTTTTTTAAGAGTGTAGGGTAACGTTATTATTACCATTATTGTCATTATTCTTATTATTATCATGTTATTGTTGTTGTTGTAAGAATAATCATTTAGCTATTCACTTATCTTTATCCTTGCTTTACACAGATCAGCAGCTTTAACTGCATGATCATCAATTCATTGGTCTGAAATGGTCATATTAAAGAGGGAACAACTCTTTCAATTTAATCTGTAAACATTCCCATGAACAAAAAACAGTCTACACTCTTAAAATAGATGGTTCTTCAAGGGTTTTAGTAGAGGCAGTGGTTTTAGTTAGAACCATGAGTTCTATATTAAACCATTTCATGTTTAAATGGTTCTTTGCATGGTGAAATAGTTCTTCAGATTGATGGAGAATGTGCTGTGTATGGTTCTATGTAAAACCTTTTTGAAAATGGTTCTATATAGCACCAAAAAGGGTTCTGCTGTTGTTAAGATGTCAAGTTGTTGGTATACAATACATTGTCCATTAATCTGAAGAAAGTGACAGTGGTAATAAACAGTGCCAAACATTCACACAGCTTTCCTTCACCAGTTTTAAATAGGACGCCACTCTATCACAAGTCACGACTAGCTAGCAAGCTAGAAACAACTGGACTGAGGGATGGCTACTTACTTTAGCTGCTACTAGCCATAGCCAACTATCTTGCAAGGCAAATTATGCCTGTATTCCTTAAATGCACTTAAGTGTGTATAACTAATTGCATTTCATTTTCACAATTTGAAAAAGAGACTGATGCTCTACTAACCATTTTAGTAACACACCGTTTGCTGTTCAACCACCCAGCACTGATACACACTTGAGTGCTGTGTGTGTCTGTACCTGCTGCTGCAAACCAATTTCATTCAGCAACTTTTGTAAGAAACCAGTAAAGTAGGGAAACAAGGATTTATGATTTATGACATAATTAGAAGAAAACATTCATACAATGATTGTAATTACATACCTATCCCAGTTTTAATGGGCATGACGCCCCTGCCCTCATCCAGTGAGAGAATGAATATATATTTTATACTACATATAGTTTATTAAATTCTTAGCATTTTAGTAACAAATTGTAACTTGGTTTAAAACCTACATGCCTTCTTTCATTTGTATATTGTTTAGTCTTTCTGCCCCCAGCCCACCACAAACATTGCACATTGCATTAACTTCCATTACTAGTTAGCTACATTAGCCTCACAGCTCCAGCGCAAAAACTAACAAAGCAAACTTCAGACACATAATGTGTTTTGTAGTGTTTTGACTGATTGATTATACTTGAGGTAAGGGGGAAACTGTGTATGTTTGATTTTCCGCTATTTTGTTTTTTTTTTCCTAATCTCTTGACAAATTCAGTTGTAAAGAGTATTTTAATCAGCTGAGGTGTATTTCTAAATTGAATTCAGTCTTCTCAGTTCATGATCTGGAGGTAGTTTTAGGTGCTTTTATTATAACACACTTTGATTATTGCAATTCTCTCTACATGGGAGTCAGTCAGTCCCCACTTGTCCAAAATACTGCCGCTAGACTCCTTACTGGCACAACTAAAAGAGACAGCATCTTACCTGTCATGGCTTCTCTACATCAGCTTCCCATCAAGTATAGAATCAATTTTAAATTTTTACTGTTTGTTTTCAAGGCAATACATGGTCTGGCCAAACAGTATATTTGTGATGTGATTAGTCCTTACTCCTCCGGCACGTCCCTCTGATCCGCCAATACATTACTGCTCACAATCAAACCCTCTCAGGAGATTATGCAGTTTCAGTAGCCGCCTGAAGATTGTGGAATAATTTACCTATTAATGTGAGATCTACATCAACCCTTGCTGACTTAAAATCTTAGCTTAAGACTTGTCCTTTTTTTCTTGGCATGTGACTGTGTCTGTGTAATTTTATGCACCCAGTTCTTCTAAATTAATTTTTTTTTTATGGACGGTTTCATCTTCTTTTTATCTTTTATTGCATTTTGCATTTTATTGTTTCAAAATATTTTTCATGCAGTACTATTAGTATGTGTTTGCATTAATTGCATTCATGTATTCTCTATACCTCTGGTTCTCTCCTGCCACTTTAAATTTGTTGTAGGTGGCGTGTCGTGTCTGTTGGTGCCAGTCTTGGAGTGTGATGCGGAGTGTGTGTTGTCCATTGGCTGTGAGAGCGTGAAGGACTGCATTCCCCAACCAGTGCTCCTTCTGTGCAGAGCCGAAGCCATCTCGATACTCTCTCCACGTCCGGTTAAAGTCCACTTGTCCGTCAAATCTGCGCTGAAAAACTGTCCACCCCCCGCCCGCAGACTCCATATCACACACAGCCTGCAGTGAGAAAGATGAATGAGATACATAATGTGTGTGCTTATGTGCATGGGTCTGTTTCTTTCTTTCTATAGGTTGTCTTCATTAATATTCATACTATGCACTGCTGTGAAAAAGTCAGAGACCAACCTTTCTGTTTATTTAATTTCCAGTCATGTTTCAGTGTCATAAAAAAACAGAAAGTATAATATCAATCTGTCAGTGTTGAATTAGTCCATCCTTCCAATGTGATCTCCTTACAAAAGCTTCCCAAAGGGTTTCTGATATTATCTTCTCCTTTGAGGCGATACTAACATTCACACAAGCAACTACCCAAACACATCTTAGGTTCCTTGCAAATTTCTTCCTCATGGGCTTCTGAAATGGCTAAAGGAGATATTTTTGAGAAGATTAAGAGAAATCCACTTGCATAAGGAAGGGGAATTTCAAAGGAAAACAAGTGAAAAAAAACAGGAATTTCACAAATTGGAGTTTTAAAAAAAGCAGACAACTTAATGCTATGGGTCTGAAAGGATGTGTAGCTGTCAAGAAGCCCTTACTAAGAAAAAGAAATAGACAAAAAAAAAAAGAAACACTGCCCTAGAGCACTGAAACTGGACATCTGAGATGCAGCGTAAAGTTTGTGATGGGAGTCTAAATTTGTAATTGGGATTAACTGATCATGAGAAGCAGAAAATGCAATTAACCTGACTGAATTTTGGAGGTATAGAAAAATATCCCTGCAGATTTCTTAGAAAAACTGAAAGCAAGTCTCCTGAAAAGAATGGAAGCTGTAATAAAGAAAAAGGGTGGAGACTAAAGGTATGTTTTTCTGTTGCTGAATGACTTGTACTTAATGACTGTTTATGCTGGAAATTCAATAAATGCAAGGGGGGTCTCTGACTTTTGCACAGGTCCAATGTGGCACAGTTACAGTGGATATTTCATGACTTTAAACATAGTTTTGAGGGATTTTGGAAGCATTGCACTGATTGATTTATGTGCATGTGGTTGTACCTCTAGTGCTGGTTGTTGAGGGTCTGGCTGTATGGTGTAAATTCCATTCTCTTTAACTCCTAACTGAAAGATCTCATAGCAGTCGTGAGGATAAAGGCCTGCAGAGGGAGCCACTACCAGAAACACACATGAGTGAAATACACATAGCACCCAGTGACAAATACTACACTTTAATTAATTACAGGATTGGTTTTCTTTTCATTATTATTATTATTATTGTTATTGTATCATTATTTTTATTATTATTACGATGTGCTTACAACAGAAAGTACATACTGTGGCTTGTAGATTTTCCAAAAGAAGCATAAGAAAGTGAGGACAAAAGGTTAAGACGAAAATTACCTTGACAGAGCTTCATGGATTTTAATGAGTGTGTGTATGTGTACCTGTAGGAGTCTGTGGTGCAGTTGTGGAGGCAGACATCGTGATGCTCTTTAGCAGCAGCAGCAGATCTTTTTCTCCATTTCTCCCCACAGCTGCACCCTCTGAGAGACAGACAGAGGGAGGGGGTTGTGCAGGTGGTCTGAAGCTGTTTGATTTAAAGGCTGGTTTGTGAGGCTGTGACAAGGTTATATAAAGATTGCACAAAGGTTGTTCATTGGTTGAATGGAGGCTGTTTAAGGGTCAGTTCTTGCTGCGGACTCACATTCCTGAGAGTACTACAGCCATCAGCCTCTGTTTACTGTGTGTGTGTGTGTGTTTGTTGCAGGGGTATGTTTTAATTAATTGATGGTGGTATGAGGAAAAGGTACTCAAGGCAGTGAAAAAATTCCACAGACCCCTTTTCTTCCTGAGCAATTAGCAGGGGTACAAACATCATTGGTCTTTCACAATTTAAAGTTTTCTTCTTATCCCTAATATAGTAAATCAGCCAAGACATGTTTGGTGTTTAAAGTTTGATTCTTTAGTTTTGCATTGATGTTAATCAGGCGTGTAGCCACCAGGTTAACATCTTGCAAACATCATGTCTAAATCATCACATGCTTCACAAACCAGATTGAGTTGTAAAATAAGCGCACATACACTTCTTTATGTTGGTACTGAGACTATGTGAGATTTTTTTTTTTAATGACCAAAAGTACATACAAAATTCACACTTTGGGTGCTGCACTTTTAGCTACAGTACCGTGCATACAGAAAATTACACAAAAGCCTCAACAACTAAATATAATATCACATTTTGTCAGCATTTAGTGTGTCCACTTTTTGCCTTTGTTACAGCTTTCATTCTTTTCGGGAGAAATCTACAGTGATATTTTTCAGGCCTCCAAAGTTTAGTCTTAAAAGTTTGTTGCATTTTCTGTTTCTCACAATCCAAGCAATTCTAGATACATTCAATCGTGTTGAGGTCTGGACTGTGAGGTGGACAGTCTGTTATTCTGAGAACACCAGCAGCTTCTTTGTTTGATTGGCAAAACTTTTTCTGTTTTGTCTATTTCCTTTTCACAGTAACAGCTTCTTGGCTGCACATCCTTTCAGACTCATAGTGTCTTCTCACAATGGAAGGATGAACAGAAACACCTGTGGATTCTTTCAGACCTGAAGCAAGAATTGAGCTTGATTTTCTCTCTAAAAGATGAAAGCTTTAGGTACTGTTTATCTGATGGTGACCGTTTTGGTGGTCAACCAGGTCTTGCATGGTTGTTAGGAGTCCCATTTTCTCAATATCTTTTGAACTCCAGTTTTGCAAACTCCTGTTTTTCCACTTATTTTTCTTTGACTTTTTTCTTCCTTATGCAAATATTTCGTAAAAATATTGATGACTTGTACTTGATAGGCATTAGTGATGTGCTTCTGTTCCTTTTTTACAGAAAACAGCATTGTGCAAGTGTCAGAAACCACATAAACCTCTGTTTGAGATTATTTAACAACTTGGCATAGTTTGAGGCAAGTGTGACGATTTAGACAGGCAGTTTGCATGATGCTAACTGGGTAAGCTTCCATTACTTTATCTACATTAGCCTTGTACCTCCAGTGCAAAACTAGAGAAGCAAACTTCAGACACCAGACATGTTTTCACTGATGGACTACATTTGGGGTAAGGAGAACTTTTTTACTCAGAAAGAAAAGTTGAATGAAAGCACACAAAGTGACCATGTGGACCAAGTGGAGATTGTTTTACACTGACCTAGCCTGCTGGCCATGTCTCTTAGCCTCTGACTGTGGCAGTGCAGGTCACACTCGGTTAGGACTGCGGTCATTAGAGCCAAAATGGCCGCCAGTGAGTCAGATCCATCACCTCGATTGCCTGTGGCTGGCTCATACTGTTTCATACAACGCTGCAGCTGCACCAGACGCTCTGAGATGGCAGATGCCTAGAGGACAAAAATACAGAGCAAGGGACCTTGTTCAGTTGAGGGTGACACATTCTGCAAACACAATATTCAAGTGTAAATAGTGACACCTGGAGTGTTTAAAGAGTTACTTGATTCCCTTCAGTTTAGTCAGGAGGGCTGAAGGCAATAATTTAATAAACGTATTGTAATTTATATCATTTTTACAAATAGTGTACCCAGCATATAATTGTCAAGTGTGCTCTGTTTTCCACAATTACATACATAAATCACAGTCTAGTTGTAAACAGCAGGGCCTAAATCATCTACCACATGTCTACAATTTGAATCAGTACATTGCCAAAATGTATTTCGTTAGTTGTGATGTTCCCTGTTCTAAAACTCACAAGATATAATTCAAAATCATGTCATACTTCACACTTATTAGTGTTTTGTTGTTATCAGACACAGTAACAGTTTTTCAGTGCTATGACATCTAGGCAGTTGTACATTCCACAATACACTTAAATTAATAAAGTGCTGAAACAAAACTTTCATACAGTCGCTGTTGTGGCAAAACTTTGCATCTCCAAAATAGTAACATTACTTAACTTTGAAATGGAAGGGCAACTGGCTTTTTTAAATACCTTAAAAAGTTGATATACAAGGTTTGTTCCAGCAACGACAATATATTCCTAGAAAACACTTCTAGCCTTTTGTGGAAATGTGGAGTAAAGTAGAATTCCACAGTTTTTCCAATATCTATGCTAAGATGTAAACAAAGTCCTTCAGGATGGTTTGATGTGAAATGCTCAGTTTTAGAGAAATGGAGAGTCAGAATTGCTCAAAGTGGTAATGATAGGAACCAGACACCTGAAGAGTTTAATATCTCTAAAAGCTTCCTCACACTAAGTTATTGCATGAAATGGATATAAATACTCTATCTGAGACAATGTTTTATGACAGTTTTTCGATAAGATTTTGGCCTAAACTGTATTTTTTACAATCCGTATATACAAGACATGCATGCAATGCATTGTAAGGCAAAATAGTCACCAAAGAAAACGATGAGAGACATGTAGGTTCATTGGTTATTTTGGATAGTTAATAAAATTACCATATTTGCATTGCACACATCACAAACCCTGATTCCTATCACCACCATTGTATCTCTGCACCATTTCACAACTAACTCTGAATGACTTTGTTTCATCTCAACAAACTGAATTATGGAGAACAATCTGTAGATTTCCCCTTTAAGCCTAGGACTAAACTGTAATGCCAGTGGTGATTCATCATTGAAAAGCCTTTTCAACCTAGACTCAAGCTTAGACACAAATACATTAATTCTCTTGTCACTATCATCCTCGTTCTTGTAGAATCACACTTAAACAATTTAAAATCCGTTTGCAAACTCACCTGCTGGTTTCTTTGGCGGGTCTCCTGTGTTTTCCTGGACAGCATGACCTGGGTATTTGTGAGGTGCGCTTTTGGGGGTGATGGGGTTTCACTGCAGGCCCCCTCACACCTTCTGCTGGGGGGTCCGGCCACCAAACTGTCCCTCTGACTCCACACACATTCAGACATCATACACACACCCAGCAAAAGCCAGCGCAGAACGCACACACACCCACGCACACCGCTCAAGCCACTCATGGGAAAAAGAGAGGAGTTCAAATGACCCGTTGGACTGAATTAGTGTTGCCTCCTTTTCCTTCTTAGCGCTCCAGTGTCTGAATCAGTCAGTCTGTTTTTTCTCTTTCAAATCTGTAGTTGTTTTGTCCTCATTAGATGATGTATCTTCCCCTGTGTCTCTTTAAGTGTACCTTTATCAGACAGACTCACTCTCACTCTGCACTGCCTTTCACATTGTCTGTTTCTGTCTGCATCTCACTCTCTCTTCTGCTCTCTTTCTCTTTTATTTGATCTCCCCTTCCTTCCCTGTATCCCTCCCTCCCTCTCTCCCTTTACCTCCCTCTCTCTACCTCTCCTGTTAGTGAAGCTCCTTTGGCTCAGATTCCTAGATAACTGTGTTTCTTTGCTCTCTGACATGCAACAGTACCCTCCACTCACACACACACACACACACACACACATACACACACACACACACACAAACATACTGCCTGACTGATCACATAAATGAATTTCTGTCCTGCTCCTAAGATACACACACTCTTTCATTCACAAATTAAATGCACACACACACACACACACACACACACACACACACACTGACAGCTCCATACTTCTACACTGCCTGGTGTGTGTACTTTTGTGAAGTGTGTACTGTTTGTTGAGCTTGTTAAAAGTCATAAAGACTGAAAGAACAGAATTCCTCTTTTACATTTTACACTGGGTTTAACACATTCGCACACAAACAGACTTGGTTTTGTACAAAGTCAGGACATGAGGTTGTACATCTGTGCCATATGTACTATATACGTGTAAGGATCTATTTGTAGTAATAATCATGTCGGATATGTTTTAATAATAATGATGATTGATAATAAAGATTAATGGTTTTAATAATAATACTGTCCCACATATATTTTATATGTGTCCCATTTGTCCCATATATGCTGTCTATATTGTTATTATATATTTATATCTCTGTGTAATAGTATGGCCCATATATATTATATGTATACGTACCTCTGTGTAATAATACTATGCTCCATATGTATTATATGTAAATACCTACATAAAATAAGAATTTTCTAAGCCTAAACCTAACTTTAATCATAACCAAGAAGAAATTTTACTCTTTCAGTTTTAAACCTTGTAAAAAATGCACTTTATAAAGTCAAGACCTTTTTGCTGGGCCCCACATTGTAAGCTACCCCTGTTTTTCTCTGGTGTTATTAGAAAGTCAGGACATTTTTGTTCTGAAAAAGAAACACACACACACACGCACACACAGGCACACACCTTCTGAATGGAGTGACCTCCACTACACTTTGACCTCTGACCTTTCTCTGTCTAGAGGAGGAAGGTGCTAGACCTGTCCTTTGTGCTTTGGAGAGGTGTGTTTATTCTATGTGTGTCTGTGTATGTGTGTGTGTGTGTGTGTGTGTGTGTGTGTGTGAATTTGTTGAGGGTACAAAAAGTTTAGATAGGAGAGAATGATTAGCTCTAAGTGTAATACTCTTTGCTTTGACTACACTGTCAGAAGTTACTGAATGCTGAAGGATGTGCTTGGGCCCAGTTGTAACAGTTGTATTACAAATAATAAATATAGTCGTTCAACTCCAAAGATTAAGAGTCAAAATCTCTAAACAAAAACAAAACCTTAAACATGAACAAAGCATTAAAAGTTGTGTAATATGACAAAACTATGTAATATGAGAAGGGCTTGATCACAGGGTCTGATTGTAGTGAGATAAGATGAAGTGGTTAAAAAGTGGTTAAAAGACATGCACGCACACAAACACACACAGTAGAAGCAGCATATCAGCACTGATGGTTATCAGCACTGGACTGATATCAGCCGGAAACGCTGGATCTGATATCGAAGGTAAAAAAAAATTGCATCCGATCTGATCTCGTAACAAATCAAGCCTGAAATAGCTCACAATTACACAGTATGATTTTGGCTGATGTTGTAGGGGTTAATAAAGAGTTTGAGTAAATTGAATATGATAGCCTACTTTTACATGATAATTTTAAGTGAAATGCTTCATTTAAAAATAGCTCATTGTAAAACTTATGTAATGTTTTTTTTTTTTTAAGTACTGGATATCTGTCATTATCTGCCGATATTCAAGGTTTCAGTATCAATATCTGAAAAGAATGGAGTGGTATTGTGCCTTCTCTTACACTAAGTATGTATTCCTGCAATTGTGAGGGTTTCCCATTGATTTTCCATTTAAGACAAAAATGCACCAACAAAATCATGTTCATGGTTATCATCATCATCATCATCATCATCATCACTGGGAACAAATGCAAACACTGGATGGGATGGAACTAAGGAAGATTCAATCCACCTGAAAATCATCTGAGGGCTTAGAGACTACCAACATCCAACCTTTTGTACAAAGTTCTTAAAATGCTCAATGTCACAGGTTTGCTTCAGTGTGTATACTGACCTATAAATAGTGCAGAATCTTGAATATTTCTTTTTTCATTTTGTCATTGTGTGCATGCATGTACAGGAGTGCAAGTCTTAGGCACATAAGCACACTGCTTAAAACCATTTATCTGAGCAATAAATGTATTTTGCAGGTAAAAACACACATACATACACATAAATACAGTAATAAGATATATGAATTTCTTGTAAATTTCTTGCTGTGTTGTGAATTAGTTTAAAGAACTTTGCGATCCTCCTGGATGCCCTCAGCCATCGCATGGATGAATTCCATCAGCAGCACACTTGATTTAGCATTGATTAGCCCATCCAGGTACTGGATGATAACTACAAATAATACTGGTCTTCCATGAGGAGAGGTTTAGGAATTCTGAATGGAAAACACTGACCTCTATATAAATACTACTGATTGTATTAATGATATGTGTATTTATTATATAGTCTTTCACCGTCGAAATCACAAAGAATTCTCCTTTTTGTGTGGACAAGAAGTTCTAAAAAGTACTGTTATCGGGATATTAGTATTACTATATATTAGTATTACCTTTCGGTGTTACTCACAAACTGGCCTTAAGGCGCCATCTAGTGTTAAAGTACAGAACTGTTTGATATACCGAGTGAAAAACAGAGAAAGGGAACCTAGAAAACATTTGAAAAAAATTTAAAGTGTAGTGTAATGTAACTGACTCAAACCTATTTCGTGTGCGGACCGACTTATAAGGACAGAACTTGGCTACAGTCTTCAGAAGATAAGGCCTGGACATTTCCGCTTACTGTGTTGCAGAGTTTACTTCGAGATGAGGACGGAATTTACCAATGGAATTTAAACCAGCGCTGTGAAACTGACCAATCAGCTCCCACGTGGGCGGGGCTTAGAGGACTTCGTGCCCTCCCCAAAGCATGCGCAGGAACAGCAGCTGGAGGAAGTGAGAGGAGGAAGGAAACACACAAGCAAGAGCGTAAGAAAGCTTTACTGTTCGTCAGCTTTCATTTCAGTGGTGTTTTAAGGAAAAGACACGGGCATCTGGATATTTTTATTAGCCTAGTATTTTAATATCCATAATCCAGCCAATTGGCTGTTCTTGAAGAGGAGAGAAGACAAGAAGAAGTAACAGGTTCGCTCAAAGCAAACTGTTCGAATAACAGTTAAGCCCGTAAACAGATCTGCTTTCTCGGTTAATATTTGTACGTTGAGTTTGCGGATCGAGTCGTGTGGACTGGAGACCGAAGCGAGTGTTACACAGTGCGCATTGTCATTAATGACCTACCACAACAGGTTTGGGGGGCTGTGTGTATGTGTGTGAGAGATAGATTGGGCGGGTGCTTTCATCCTTATGCTTACACATTAGGCGTGTTATTAATTCTTCTCAACAAGCTTTGCAACAGGGATCCGTATGTTAGGTCCACGTACAGATGATTGCTGATGTGGCGATACGTCAGACATGTTATTTTGACCTGTGTCCTCGCTGTCTCCCCCAGGCAGCATGGCATCGAGAAAGAAAGTTCTGCTCAAAGTCATCATCCTTGGGGATTCAGGGTAAGTGTGTCCATTAAAAGAGAGACAGACTGATAGAGAGCTCGTGTTTGCCGTGTTGTAATTTGACTCCTATGTCCTGTCATTGACAAAGCTGTACAGAAATCTAGTGAGTTCGTTATCTTACCTCTTAAAATCAGGTCTGGGTCAAGATAAAAGATTCATATGTTACACCAATAATGCTGAAAATTCCAGATTCCTCTTTTCAGTTCTCTCTCTCTCTCTCTCTCTCTCTCTCTCTCTCTCCCCTTTTAGTGTTGGAAAGACGTCTTTAATGAACCAGTATGTCAACAAGAAGTTCAGTAATCAGTACAAAGCTACTATTGGAGCTGACTTTCTTACAAAGGAGGTGATGGTTGAGGACAGACTTGTTACTATGCAGGTACCACATTCTGTCATCACTGCACCATCATTCAAGTCATAAATGAAAAAATGAATTTACAACATGAACAACACTTAATAGTAGCAGATAGGAAACATTCATGTCGACAAGAAAACGAGTTTCATGGAAAGCCAAGAACTGGAAAAATGCTCTTCTCTACAGTGCTTGCAGTGACCATGTGAGCTATTTCCTTTTCCAATGCCATGACAACCCCCGTGGCTAACCATGTGACCATCAGCCAGCCAGTTGGACATGATAATTATGAGTGAAAATGACTTGCTGTACTGCTCCTTTAGAGCCCCAGATACGCTTTCTTGTTTCTTTAAGCACATTGTAGAAAGATGTAAGAAACGATATCGCAAAACCAGTACTGTTTTCTGTTCTTCCTGATTTTTTATTTATATTTTTTGTGGTGTTTCTGTCCCTGTTAGATTTGGGACACGGCCGGGCAGGAGAGGTTCCAGTCTCTGGGGGTGGCGTTCTATCGTGGAGCAGACTGCTGTGTGCTGGTGTACGATGTAACTGCTCCATCTACCTTTAAGACTCTGGACTCCTGGAGAGATGAGTTTCTGATTCAGGCCAGCCCTCGTGACCCAGACAACTTCCCTTTTGTGGTGCTTGGCAACAAGATCGACCTGGAAAACAGGCAGGTGTGTAATATTGAAAACCAAAAGAGTGCACATACTAAAGAGGTGATCGTAAAACTGTTAGCTTTTACGTAATTTGCATCTTGTTGATCAGTTTCACAGCACCTGCCTAAAAGCTTGTGTAGAGGCATCGAAAGTTTCAGAATTTGATGTCCTGCTTTCACACTCTTCTTCAGAATCTGACCACACAGGCTGCAGGTCAAATGTAATCATATTGAGCTTATCTAGCTAACATATCCATTTTTTGTTTCTGTATGTGCTAAAGTAGTCACGTTTAGCTGTAGCAAAAATTGAGTCATTACTTAGCAACTGGTGTTCAGTGAAATGATATATAGTCAAAATGCTGTTATTACAATGCTGTTATTGTAACAAAACAGCTAGACAGTTATAATAGTCATAGTCATTATAGTTATTATAACAAAACTAGCTAGAATTATCAAAAAACAGCTGCTGGTTGATATAGGATGGTGGGTAACACCTCTGCCTTCCATGCTGG